AGAGATCGGAGTGCAGGGGGATTAGGAAGGAGAGCCTTCCTCGTCTGCTTTATATATTTGTGTGTGTGTGTGTGTGTGTATGTGTGTGTATATGATATCTGTATATAACTCCTGAGTCAGAGACAGAGGACTTTATCACTAGCGGAAGCATCAGCACGTGTGTCAGTTTCCATTCCCCCAAGTCCCACAGGGGTGATACCATGGGCCCAAATGGATCCTGTGCTTTTGTGTCACAGCTGAGAAACGCTGAGCTTGGGAACCTGCTTCTTTATCGCAGGCAGAAGGCAAGCCTGCTCTTCCTCCCCAAGGGAGACATTGTCTCATCCCGCAAGGTTAGCCCTGTAAAGGGTGGTCAGGACCTTGCATTCTGGGCACACCCTACAAGACATGCTGGCATGCCAGAGGCTGTGGAGGATGGAGCCTCCCAGCAGGAGGCTGGTAGGGTGAGATGGGATGCTGTGTGTGGGGTGCATTGCCACAGTGTGTGCCACGCGGGAAGCTCTTGATCAGTGTCATCCCTCGTAATGTCTGTGGGCTGTGGAAAGGCAGGCCCAGCGATGACGTGGTCAGTTATCACAGTCTTTCCGCCTGGTTTTCAATGTTTAGACAAGACTGAGGGTCCTGGGAATGACAGGGTGCAGGAGGGGCTGAAAGGGAGAGCGAGGCTCACCTTAGTTGCTGCGGGTAGGTTCTGCTTTCTGGTACACATCTCACAGCTAGTACCTCCCGGTGGCGTGTACGCTGCTAGCTCTTGCTAAATTATTTAGAATTCTCTTTTCTCTTGTGCATGATCAAATGAAGTTTATTTCCTAAGCTTAATATTTGTGGCTTAATTTGAAATGAAGTATGGTGAGTCTTAAGAAATAGAATATTACTTGTTTGTACATTTATTTAGCAGAACCCTTGGTAATTCATTCCAAACTAATGAAACTTTAAATCTATATGATGTATAAGAGTATTATAGAAGTGTGGGGAGAGCTAAAGGACATTTAATGATTGGCTCAACTTTGCAGTTTTATGGAAGAGGAAACTGAGGCAAGAGGAGTGAAGGCGTTTACTGGAGAGTGGTCACAGATGATGAGTAGTGGATGTGGTTCTGGCCCTCAGCCCGCAGCCCTGTCCAGGAAGCTCTGAATCTGTGAGAGTAGATAGAGCGGGGACCGGAGGGAATCCATCTACACTGTTTTGGGTACATATCAGGCCAGGACTCATCTGTCCTCATTCAATAATGAACACGTAGAAAGGCTAACACTAGAGAAGACGCACTGAAAAGATCCAGCAGCGTAAAGGGAGAGAAACAAGGCGTGTAAGGACTAGAGGACGAACAGGCTTTGGGAAAAGTTTCCAAACCTTTACTCTGTGAACTGAAGTAAGTTTCAAACATCATCTTCATGTCCTCTCGGAGAAGGTCTGGATGCTCTGAAAGATGAGATGGTGAGTCAGCAGACTGAGATGAAAAAGGGGCTTGTAGACTTAACCTAAAGAGATAAATCACATAATGCGGGCATTTAAAATTAATGAAACTGCAGAAAGTCAAGGAGTCAGGAGGAGGACAAACTGCCGATCTCGGGAGGGACAGGAGAGCAGCAGAGGAGACCCCAGATGTGGGTTATAGATGAGGCTGGAGACCAGAACAGGTGAAATAGAAGGAATCCTCAATTTTCCTGAACTGAAGAAGGACCCGAATCTCTAAATTACAAGGGCTTATCTTGAACCTGGCAACATTAGCAAAAATTAACTAACACTTAGAATATCTACGTGAATTTATTTTTTTAATTTTAAGAACAAAGAGAGGATGCCATTAGCATCCAGGCAGAAGAAACCTTTAGATAAAAAAAAAAAAAAAATTAGACTGGGCTCAGACTTGTCTACAGCATGGGGGCCAGAAGGGAGTAGAGCACGTTTTGAGGGAAAAAGATTGTGACCCAAGGATTTTATCCTCAGCCAAGTTTAGTTAACATTTGAGGGTAACAAATTCATTTCAGTCGTGCAAAGACCTACCTTGTATGTAGCTTTCACTGCACCCACGCACCATTCCTGAGGAAGAATCACTGGGAGCCGTGCTCTGGCAACTGAGAAGTGAATCACAATGAAAGACCCGTGAACGGGCAAGTCAGAGTGCAGAGGGATTGGCAGTGAGAGTGGAACCATTCAAGTATAAAATCATTTCTCAATAATTGTGATTATGATTATAAAATAGAATACAAATGAAATGATTATTGAAAGAAGATATAACATTAAATCATAATTAACAGAAAAAGCAGAATAAAATTCCAGCTCAAACCAGACATCGTGCGTGTGAACACACTGCGCTCTAAAGAACTGTACAAGTGTGAAGGATGAAAGATTTGAAAGCCAGCTCTCATGCCCTCCAGTATGTCTGCACGTGTGTTTTCCAGCTCATAAAATGCTGTGCAGGTCTACAGTGTACCTGGGGCTACTTTTATGTTGATTCCTCTGGGCACCGTCTTTTCACAAAGCCTTGGAGAGGTTTGCTGGACACCTTCATTCTGCAGGTGGCACATTGCTGCTGGCAATGTAAAGGGTGCAGCTTCTTTGGAAAACAGCTTTGGCAGTTCCTCAAAATATTGGACATCAAGTTACCATATGACCTAGCAATTCTACTCCTAGGTATATACCCTTGAGAATTGAAAACACGTGTTTACACAAAAACTTGTACGTGCATATTTGTAGCTGTGTAATTCATAATGGCCAAAAATGGAAACAACTGTCCACTGCAAACGTCCATCAACTGATGAATGGTAAACAAAATGTGGTATATCCATGCAATGGAGTATTAGTCAACCACAAAAAAAGAATTAAGTGCTAATTCATGTTACAACATGGATGAACCTTGAAAGGAAGCCAGACACAAAAGGCCACGTACCTGCATGATTTCATTCGTGTGAAATGTCTAGAAGAAGCAAATCCGTAGAGACAGGAGGTAGATTAGTGGCTGCCAGGGAGCGGGGGGAATGGGGAGTGAGTGCTAACGGGTACAGGGTTTCTTGTTGGGATGGTGAGAAGTTTTTGGAATTAGATAGCCCTGATGGTTGCTTCACAACTTAGTGAATATGCTAAAAACTGCCGAGTTCTACAGTTCAAAAGGGTACATTTAATGGTACATAAATTATATCTCAGTTTAAAAAAACAGCTTTTTTCCCTCATTATTAAATGTTAGTTGTAGGAAAATAAGAAAGTAAGGATAGACGAAAAACCAATCAGCAGCCATCATCTCATTGTTAACACTTGGGGCATATATTTCCAGACATTTTTCTGTGTGTGTCTCGAAGCTGCGTTGATAGCCCATTTTAGTCTCTTTCCTGTCATGATGGTGTGTTGGGATCAGCATAGTCCACAGCATTTTTTGTTTTTTTCAAAGATTGGCACCTGAGCTAACAACTATTGCCAATCTTCTTTTTTTTTTTTCCTGCTTTTTCTCCCCCAATCCCGCCAGTACATAGTTGCATGTTTTTAGTTGTGGGTCCTTCTAGTTGTGGCATGTGGGACGCCACCTCAGCATGGCGTGATGAGTGGTGCCATGTCCACGCCCAGGATTCGAACCAGTGAAACCCTGGGCCGCTGAAGCGGAGCACGCTAACTTAACCATTCGGCCATGGGGCCGATCCCAGCATGTTCTTTTTACTAGTGCTTTAGCCTCTTGTTAGGGTGTTTATGTTGGACACAATATTTCGCTACAAGTAGGAGCAGTGTACTATTTGGAGTCGGAACATGGGTTCCTGTTCTGACTCACCTTAGGTTTGTGAACTTGAGAGAGGCACCTAATCTCACTCTTCTTATCTTTAAAAGGGATTGTAGTACTTACTTTGCGATATCTTACCAACCAGAATGGCTAAAATGAAAAAAAAAGACCATATCAAATGTTGCCAGGGATGTGGAGCCAGAACTCTCATACGCTGCTGGTGGGAGTGTAAAATGGTTTGGCCACTTTGGAAAACTGTTTGCCATCATCTACCAAAGCTGAACACACACTCGCCTTACGACCCAGCAGTTCCGCTCCTCGGTGTCAGCCCAGCAGAAAGGCAGACAATGGTGTACCGAGTGGCATGCTCAGGGATGTTCACACCAGCACCATCTGTAACGGCCCAGACTGGAAACAAGGCCAGTGTCCATCAGCAGAATGGACAGACATGTGGTGAACTCCCACAGTGGATACTGTGATCAGTAAGAGTTAACAAACAACAGTTCAGTGAAAAAATAGGGATGAATTTCACAAACGTAATGTTCATTCAGACATAAAAAATATATACTGTATGATCCCATTCATTGAAGTTTAAAAACAGAGCTAATCTGTGCTGTTGGAAATCCGCAGAGTGGTTACTTGTGGGTGGCGGGGTGATAGAGGGCACAGTGGGTTTCGGGGCTGGCGGTGTTCTCTTGCCCCCTCGGGGCGCTGGTTACGTGGGATGTTCATTTGTGGGAATTCTTTGACCTGTGCACTTTTCTGTATTGTGTTGTACTTCCATAAAAAGTTTATTTAAAACACTGAAAACGGGAAGCATATCAATCACAGTGCTCTCACTAAAAATATTACTAATAATGAGAATGAAAGTATTTGTATTGATGAATAAAATAAAATAATTTTAACGTATTATTTCATCTTTATCTCTTGCTTTGAACATTTATATTATAAAGTACATAACATGTTGGTATGTTAGAACATATATTTTAATATACGTTTAACCTGCAGTGAATATACATATGTTAGAGGTGCTTGCTTAATTTTTTTTAACTATTGGTAGTGAAGGATCAGAAAGGTTGGTGAGCTGCAGCTCAGGGTGGTAAGGAGGGGACAGCCTGAGCAGAGGCGTGGCTGCGGGCAGCAGGCCGGCGAGCGGGCGGGCCTTGAGCAGTTCCGCCAGCCTTCTGTGTTTGGGTTGGTTTCCTTGTTGCCGGAGCATGAAGTGCGGGACAGAGGAGGGTAGTGGTGAAGCTGGAGAGGGAGGTGGGGGGCAGGGGCCCAGGGGAAGGGCCTAAGAGGAAGCTCTGAAAGGTGAGAGGACAAAAGGAAGGAGACCAGCAGAAGAAAGGAACCAGCAGAGTTGGCCAAAGAGGCTAAGGAGATGGGAGGAGGAAAAGAACGACAAAGTCATTATTAGAGGTTGAGAGGGGAGTTTCCAGAAAGAGGGACTGGTGAACCATGTTAGAAGCTACAAAGACGTAGGAGAGCCTTAGGCCACTAGCCTCAAAGATTAGGGGGTCTTGGTGATCCAAGCGGGAGCAGTGTGACCCCAGTGGCCAGGCTGGGCGTTAGCAAGTGGGTGGTAGTGAGACAGCGTGGTAGTGAGGAAGTCAGTGGTGACTGATGGGAAGCAGCCTGGAGATCAAGGTCGAAGCTTTCTTGAAGGCTGGGGAGAACGGAAGGGGTTCTCAGGCAGAGGGAAGGACCGAGAGAGTAGAAGAGACTGGGGTTGCAAGAGAGGGGCGACTGACTCCCAAGCCCAGCCAGTGACTGGCCCGGTGTCTCAGGCAGATGCCTCTTTGTCAGGTGGGAGCCGAGGACCAGGAGAAGATGCAGAAACATTTAGGTTAAAGGAGGGACCCGAGGGAGCCGAGGCCAACTTTCCTCAGTGAAGGAGGTCGTGAGGCCGCCCACCTGGGTGTGGCAGCTGTGAAGTGAGGTGTGGGGTGGAGAGAGAGGGTGCTCTGGAGGACAGAAAACGAACCAGCGACGGGCCCTCTGCAGGCGCCCTGTGCAGCGTGCTTGTCTGTGCCAGCGGGCTGCCAAGAGGCTACCCTTGTGTCGGGGCCAGCCAGGCGGCCCCTCCCTTGCCACCTGCTCTTTTTTCCACAGCCATGTGCTCGCAGACACTCCTGAGTTCCTTTCTTGCTGGGCAGTGCCTAAGGCTCAGCTATTGCTTTGGGCCTGCCGGAACATTCTTCCATGGAGTCTGTGCTTTCCTTTGGGTTCGGTCCCCAGGCAAACCCTTGCATGCTGATTTACCACAGCACGTATCCAAAGCACCATGGGAAAGGAGAGTAGTGACCAAAGCAGTGTGTTAACTTCAGTGATTTTAGGACAAGCTTTGCTACCTGATTGGCTAATGATGATATCACATATTGATCTTAGAGAAAAGTATATAGCATTTCAAAGAACAGGTTGAAATCAGATCTTGTAGCACCATAGTTGGTCTGACCTTGCTGAGCCTTGAAAAAGAGTTCTTACCACATGGAACGTGGATGTAAATTGAATTGTTCCCCCGCTTTTACAGCAGCTACTGTTTGGAAAGAGACGTGCTGGGATGGTCTTTCCTGTTGGCCTGCGATTATGAAACCCAGCCGGTGTTCCTGGTAAGTCGGCTCACTGGCCTTAGCGGCATGTGCCCTCTAGAGCAGAGGGCCATGCTGCATGGGCACCCAAAGGTGCTGGCTGGTCAGGTGAGCCGGGTGGTGTTGGGGTCAGGAGCCCTGACCTCGTCCTTGCTGGGCTGAGGAGCTGTGGCATGGCTTTGGGGACATCAGGCATCCTTAGGGAGCCACATGTGCAGAGAGTGTTTTGGGGGCTCCTTGTCAGATTAAGCTCTAGGATTTTCTCTCTTGGTTCTCCCATCAAGGGTTTTTTCCTTTCTTTCTCTCTCTGCCTCCTCCTCGTGCAAAACCTCTTGTTGCTCCCCTGTTGTGCTGTCATCCTTTTGCTCCCGTTGGTCAGAAGACAAATGTTCTGTATCTGACTCCCGAACAGGTGGGGTTGTTTGGGCGACCTCCTTTCTCTCAACCTCAGTCAGGTCCCTGCACCTCCCCACAAACCCGTCTCCTGTCTCTTTTTCCAGTTCAGCTCCGCTCCTCACGTTCAGCTGTCCTTGCCTCAGACCCCTCGTCAGAAAGGGCAGCTCGTTTTGTGAGTTAGGCTTGGCCGTGGGAGGATGGGTGGAAGACCGTGAAGATGAGTAAGACGTGGTCGTTGTCTTCAAGAGACTGCAGTCTACTGGTCAACCCCCTGCCATGCCCTGCTCTCCCTGGAGGCCCCCCCGCCCCCCAGTTCTTGCTCCCTGAGATTCTGCCCACCCTGTTTGGCACTTGTTCTAAGAATGCTTTTTTGCATTCCCCAGCTCACTGTAGCTCTCTTTGTTTTAAACCCTCATATGCTTGTTTTGCCTCCTCTTGTGGCCGTGGCCACATTCTGCATTGCATTGTGCTTTTTTGATGCACCCAGTACCTCTTGCCTTATCTCTTTGATTAGATTTTAAGCTCTTTTAAGCTCTGATAAGTCTTGCTCGTTATTGTATGCCGTGTTGTGCCTCGCTTAGTGCCTAATACACAGTAAGTGCTCAACAAATGGTACTAGCCTGAAACTAACATGGTATCTCTTTGTGCCTCCCGGCATCCATCCGGTTTGTGGCCATGGCCCTCAGGTCTTGAAATAACATAAAAGAATAGGGAAAGAGGCACGGAGCCTTTACCTAGAAGAGTCCTAGGAGATTCTGTTCAGGTAGGAGCAGTCACAAAAAACGTCAAAAGCTGGAATATTGCAATATTTTCAGTTCTTCTGGTAGCCTTACCCTTCTGTCAACCTGTTATCACAAAACAGGCGGGAGGTGAAGTTTCTGATGCTTTCCTGCCAGGGGCCCATTCTTCCTTGATATTGCATGATTAACTACAGTACAAGTCATTCATACAGTGCTTAGAAGAAGTAAGTTCCCTAAAACTTACACTTCAGTGGGAATGGTTCTGCGAAGGAGGATGCTGGAAATAGCTGTTGGTTTAAAGGTAAGAGCGTCTGAGAAAACTGAGACTCAGAAGTAATTTCCCTGAAGGAACACAGCAGGTAAGCAGCAGGGTTGAGATCTGACTCGAGATCACTCTAGTTCTAGCAATGGTTTCTCCACTGTCTGCTTTCGAGTCTGAGTGGAGCTGGATTCCATGAAAGAGGGGCTGCAGCTGCCCACCGGCTGCCCACGCTGCTGGAGGGACCGCCCGCTCTCGCTGATCCCAAGGGGTCTGGGTGGCGTTGCCCCCAGTCCGTGCAGGTGGGAGAGGACTGCGCCTCCCCTGTCGTCACCAGGGCCCCAACGTGCAGGGCACCTCCTTCCCACGTCTCGTGAGGAAGATCGCAGTTTGCAGCTCGATTCCCTTGGGCCCTCTGAGCAAAGGCTGTCAGGTCGTCAGGGCCTCAGGCTTGCTGCTGCCACGGAAGCACGGTCTGCCACAAACAGGGGTACAGGAACCTGCGCCCCCTCCCTTCCACAGGCAGAGACGAACGACAGCACATTTGCGCAGGCTTGGCCTTCACGCTCGGAGCGGTGGCTCCTCTGAGGCGGGGTGAATGGAGACGACGTACAAGAGCTTGTATGCGCAAGGAGAGGACCCCCAAAGAGACGAGATTAAAGGGCACCAGAGTCTTTCTGGAGCAAAAAACATGGCTTTCGAATTTAAAAATGACTAGCAGGAGGGGCTGGCCCCGCGGCCGAGTGGTTAAGTTCGCGTGCTCCGCTGCAGGCGGCCCAGTGTTTCGTTGGTTCGAGTCCTGGGCGCGGATATGGCACTGCTCATCAGACCACGCTGAGGCAGCGTCCCACATGCCACAACTAGAAGAACCCACAACGAAGAATACACAACTATGTACCGGAGGGCTTTGGGGAGAAAAAGGAAAAAATAAAATCTTGGAAAAAAAAAAAAAAAATGACTAGCAGGAGAACTGAAATAGGAGAGCTGGTCTGAAAGGTCAAAGAGAAGAAGGGCCTCACAATCCAGAGCCACGATAAAGAGGGAAGTAGTGAATTGAAACGTGAAAAATTTGGAAACCTCATCCAGGGAGACCTGGCATGTAAGTAACAGGAACTCCAGAAGGAGAAAAAGGAACAGATGGAGAAGCAAGAGAAGAAAATTTCACAGAGTTGAGGAAAGAGCTGATTCTTCAGATTAAGTGGATTCATTCAGCTCACACTAAGACCAACACTTCGACCTATTTTCCACTAAAATTCCTAAACTCCAAGAAGAAAGAGAAAGATCTTAAAATTTTGTAGGAAGAAAGAACAGGTTGTTTTCAAAGGAAGGAGAATTAGCTCTCCGTGGACTTCCCCTGTGCAACCCTGGAGGCTGCAAGACAGTGGTCCGTGTCTCCTGACTTTAAAGGGAGAGGGGCCACAGTCCTCTCTCTGCCCAGCCAAGAGGTCACCCAGGGCCATTGCAAAAAGAGACATTTCAAACGTGAGGACACAGAACATGCGTTATCTGTTATGTACCCGCGGAAGATACCCAGCGAAGTTCTTCAGCTGCAGGACAATTAAAGCAGAGCAGGGATAGGGAGGGGGGACGGGCAGAGTGTGGGAAACAGGGAGGAGCCGTCCCTTTAGTGCTTACTGTTTAATCTCAATGGGTGTTGCCACTGTGAATGGAAGTTTTTATTGTATGTTAAGTTATTAAAAACTTTTAAAATAGAGGAGACCTACTGTAAGGAAAACATCATAGGCTGAAAATAAAAATTCTAAACCATCTGTGCAAACCCAAGGCTTTGGGAGAAAGGATGAGAGGGTGGGGAAGTAAGTTTATTTAGGACAGTTAAATAAACATAGGGCAAATAAAACATGGAGGCATAGTTATTTATTTGTGTTACAGAAAGAGAAAGGTTCAATTTGACTTTTGGGGATCAGAAGGTGTATTAATTAGGACTAGATTTGGTTGCATATAGTAGATAATCCATGAAGAACAATGGCTTAAACATATAAAGGTTTATTTCATCTTGTGAAAAAGTAAAGAGCTGGGTATTCTAGGGTGGGTACAGTGAAATTAAGGTCATCATGGACCCAGCTCCTAATATCTTGCTGCTCTTCCAGCCATAGCAGATCGCTTCCTGATTCAAGATGGCTGCTTGAGCTCCAGTCATCACATCTGCATTCAGAATCCAGAAGGAGGAAGGGGGAAAATGTTCCCTTTCAGACACTTGGCAAAAGTCTCACACAGCACTGATGTTTACATCTCCTCGAGTGGAGCTTAGCCACACTGAGCTGCAAGCGAGTGTAAGATGTGCTTAGCTAAAAATAGGAGTTCTCTTGCTAAAAAAGAAAAGGAGAAAGAAAGAAATTGCAATCTCTGTCTCAAAAGATAATCATTAGCGGAATGCAAATTTAAACAATGGGTATCTTTTTCACCTTTCTATTTGGCAGAAAGTTACCGAGATTGATAAAACCAGTGCTAGCAAGTGAGTGGGGGACGTGGGTACTCCCTTACACTGCTGGTGGGAGTATGAATTGTTCCAACTTTTGGGGAACATGATCTGAAAATATCTAATAAATATTAAAATATCTGTATCTGGCAACCTAGCAGCATACTTCTAGGTGTCCCTCCTGCAGAAAGCAAGCGCCAGTGCAAAAAGGCATACAAAGCCGTTTTCTGCACCACTGTAGTGGCCCACAGGTGGAAACAATGGGAGCGTCCATCAGGGATGTATTTGGCAGCTGTTGAAAAGGAGCCGCTCTCTCTGTATTGACCTGAGGGAAGGCCATGATGTATCATTAGGTTTTAAGAACAAATTCCAGAATAATGTCTCCAGCAGGCATTGCAAACTGGTGGCCCACGGTGACAGATAATACTGTGGACCAGGCGCAGAGCTAAGGGCTTTTCGTTGTGCTCGCAGTGGACTGACAAGGAGGTACTATTGGAGCACCTTTTCTTCGGATGCAGAATTTGAAGCACAGAGAGACTAAATAGCTTTGTCTGGTCACCCAGCCGATAGACACTGGGTCCAGGATGGGACCAGGGCTCCAAAATCTGAACTCTTACTAACTCTGCTCTCTGCCCAGGGAGCTCTGTCTAATCTCCCCATCTGATGCTGTGTATGGCCAGCTCAGTGCTTTACAGACGTTCAAAATTGGAAGTGTTAGTGGCGTCATTAGCCCCAGGCCCCATCTGTCCTTATTCTGTTACTCCTGCCACTTCCCAGTGACATCATCTTCCTGGGCCCCATAGGCATGTGAGGGTATGACCCTGGTCTCTGCTATGAGCCCCACTTGGTTCTGTCTTTGTGTTGCCTGACGGGATGGCTAGGAGGGACACACTCCTGTCTGCTCACTGCGATAGCTGAGGTGGGTGGAAGGGGGAGGCTGTTGGGAAGGATGGGTTGATGGCCTTTTGTTTGTACACCTCTGTTGGGTTTGGCTTATAGCAGCAAGGATATGTTGCTTTTGTAGTTTAAACAGGAAGTCCAATAAAGTATAAATTAAAGAAACACGTATATTTTTTGTTGAAGAAGATTCGCCGAGCTAACATCTGCGCCAGTTTTCCTGTTTTGTATGTGGACTGTGGCCACAGCATGGCTGCCAACAAGTGGTGTAGGTCCACACCTGGAAACCAAA